TCGATATTTTGATTTATTTAAGGGGTTATTTACTAATTTTTATATATATTTTTTTCAAGCTTCATACTTGTTTGTTCACGTTGTTCGTTATTTATCTTGAAAAAAGAAAAATATATAAGAATGACAAATGACCCAAGGAGCATACAAAACTAGCCCGTATTCCATATTAAAAACCTCGCAAAGGCTTTTAAGATATGAAAATTTAAAGAAATAAATTACAACCTTCTTACAGAAGAAATGCCACTTTATCGCATAATTTCTATTTGTGACATATAAGAACCATTACTATCCTCATTAAATTTTTTAATTTGTCCGAAGTAACTTCTTAGAATAATAAGACTTAATTCCAATTCCCTACCTGTCCATAGCGAATAAAACAAAATGAAATAAAACTTCCATTAACGTTCAAGAACTTCAGAACTCTACAATCCGATTATAAATCTTATTCATTGATATTCGGCGGAGTTGGGAGTTTGCTGAAAATTCTAGATTTGCCGGTGACTCGATGTGCGCTTTTCCTTTGTTACTGACTTTCATTAATGAGATTTAAGCGAAAAGTTTTTCAGACTTTGGGCAAGTATATTAGGACTTGGTTAATTAGCCACGTTGGTTTTTGTTTTAGATTTTTCGAAACTTCAGTTATTACTTTTACTTGTTTGTTTCCCTTGAACGTTGTATTGTACTTGTTAATTTACCTGTGTAGCTTAGGTATAAACAGAGTAGTTGGAGTTTTCTCAACAAGTTTAATCTTTAAACATTCAATCACAGTTACTAATTTGAAATAAAATAATATATTTATTCTCTTTACCTTTTTACCAAAACAACAAAATGGAAGTCAAAATGGATTGACAACTTACAGAACCTATAGAAATAGGCAGCGGAATAAGACAAGGAGATTAATTGAGCCCCATGCTCTTCAATTTGATTATGGATGAAATCGGAATCTGAAGATTCACTTTCTGTCTGCATTTTTGCCATCTCAGACTTTGGAGGCACCTAAGTAGCAGTATCAGACTTTCAGTTCTATCATCATCATCAATCAGCCAATTGCGTCCACTGCTGGACATAGGCCTCCCTCAGTTCTTTCCAGTGTTCTCTACACTTTGCCGCTTGTAGCCAGTTTCCCGCTACACGTTTTATATCATCGGTCCATCTAGTCGGTGGTCGTCCTCGGCTTCTTTTATAGTTTCTCTTTTTATATATTCTATATCCTTTCTTAAATATAGATGTCAAATATGTCTTCGTCCATTCCTTTGGAAGCTGTTCTTTATTTATGGCTTTCTGAAATATCCATTATATCACCTGGTGTAATTATTTGATCCGTATTTTATAAGCTCAGATGAGATGCTTACAGGTTCCGGTGCTTTCTTGAAACATTTAAATAATTAAAATCTTTTATCTGCAAATAAACATTAACTCGATATCTACAATACTAAATGGAGACATGGCAAGTTCGCAAAACTCTGGAGCTTATCATTAAGCAGTTTATTATTTCTTACAACTTTCTTACTTTCTTACAACAAAAAGCTAGACATTTTGTTCATGACATAATCATTTTTGTTAAAGGAAATAATGATACATCTCTTTAAGCTCACATACAAAACGTCTTTTGGAAACTTGAACCATAGACACATTCTACTGATCTTGTTTATCAAATGTTTCCTCCGGTTCTTTTTTAAACTGTTCCTCCTAAACTATTAAAACCTTAATCCTCCTTAAACTGTTCCTAAACACGGTTCTTCCTTAAACTTTTTGCATTTTATCCAATAATACCAAACTCTCTATATACAAAAAAAACTTACCGTCATTTTAAAGATTTATATCGATATATCCTCCAAGAACTCCAGACATATAATAGTAACCATGATCTAAAGGGGAAGTGGAAGCAGCATGTATTTTATTTAAAATAAAATTAAATTCCTCAAATCTGCATCTATCTAGATACCTGAATTAACTGCTATCCTCAATGCACTAAATATCATGGCAGAACATGTACAAGTTGTCTAACTCTTTAAGTAACATATATCCTTATGATCCAAGTGTACTATTTATCAAATCAGCATTAAACGAATTGCAAACAAAGAGAATCGATTTTAATTTTGTATGGATTCCTTCACATATCAGAATCGATGATAATGGAAAAGTAGATTTCTTTGCAAAACTAGCAGTCTCAAGTCCGGAGGCTGTAGAAACTATGAAACCCAACTCAGGACATTCGAGAGAAAAATACTGAGGAAAGTATATGGCCCGGTACAAGAGGAAGATGGCACATGGAGAATCGGGAGAAACGACGAGGTTAATGAGTTAAATGAAGGTTATGACATTGTAAGATTTGTAAAAAGTCAAAGACGGTCATGGCTGGGACATGTGATGAGACAAAACGATGCAAAAACAACAAAGAAAATGTTACAATGGAAGCCCATAGGAAGGCGAAAAAAAGGAAGGCCCAGAACGAGATGGTTGGATGACCTGGAAGATGAACTGAAAATAATGAACATAAGCCAATGGAGAAGAAGGGCACAAGAGAGATCTGAATGGAAGGACACAGCCAGACAGGTAAAGACCCATCCAGGGTTATGATGCCAAAAGAAGAAGATATTCTTATGATCCAAGTGTACTACTTATCAAATCATCATTAAACGAACTGCAAACAAAGAGAATCGGTAATAATTTTGTATAGATTTCTTCACATATTAGAATCGATGATAATAAAAAAGTAGATTTCTTTGCAAAACTAGCAGTCTCAAGTCCGGAGGCTGTAGAAATCTGAAGAATTTCAAACCTATAATCAGTAAATTAATAATACTCAATGTTTGGCAGATCAAGTTTAATCAGTCAATATTTAAACTAGAAGACTATGAGCAAATGAGCAAAAAATGTTCTACCTGCGATAAAACAAATAATTCTGCGAAGCTTTCAGAACACCTGAAGATAGAGACCAATAGAGAAAAAATATTGGGAATCCTCAGTAATGGGTAAACGACAAGAGAGAAAGAGACCTTAGAAATGAATCTCCAAGAGACACAGAGAATAGAATCACACCGCCGTCACCCATAAACATTTGCTTAAGGATAAATCGAACCCACAGTGCTAAGTATGTAATGTGCTCAGGGCTCACCACGTTTTACATGCAATATATTCTATACAGCATTCTTCTTCTTCTTCAGATGCAAATCCACTAATGGATGTTAGCGATCACATTTTCCATTAATTCTCTATTTCTTGCAATATGTATCAGATATTGTATGTCGTTAATCCCTGTCCATTGCCTTATGTTTCGGAGCCAGGACATTTTCTTGCGTCCCATTCCTCTCTTGCCTTCAATTTTACCCTCGATTATAAGTTGGAGGAACTGGTATTTTTCATTTCGCATGATGTGACCTAGATACGCCGTTTTCCTTTTCTTGATGGTTTCGAAAAGTTGGCGTTCTTGGTTTATTCTTTTAAGGACATCTATATTTGTGATTTTCGCTGTCCATGGTATTTTTAGGATATGGCGATAAAGCCACATTTCGAAAGCTTCCAATCTGTTTATATCCCTCGTTTTGAGTGTCCAGCCCTCTACGCCATATAGCAGCACTGACCATACGTAGCACTTAGTAAACCTTAGTCTCAGTTGAAGATCGAACTCTGAACAAGTCAGTACCTTCTTGAATTTTACGAAAGCTTGTCGAGCTTGCTCAATGCGACATTTTAGTTCCCTGTCCGATGCCCAGTCTTCAAAAAGCCACGATCCCAGGTATTTAAATTTACTCATTCTTTCTATGGATTTACTATTCAGTGTTATAGTGGAGTTTTCAAGTGCATCTTGTTTCTGGAGTTTCTGGAGATGATCATGAATTTGGTCTTTTTGGTATTAATTTTTAATCCCATTCGCTTACTGTATTCTCCGATTATAGTGACAAGTTGTTGAAGATCGACTATGTTGTCACAAATTAAGACACCATCATCAGCATATCGTATGTTGTTGATCAATACTCCATTCACCTTGATTCCCATCTCTGCATCCTCCAAAGACCCTTGAAATATGGCTTCCGAATAAATGTTAAATAAAAGAGGGGAAAGCACATATCTCTGTCGAACGCCTCTTCTTATATGTATTGGCTTGAATATAGAATTGTCTATTTTTAGCTGTGCCGTTTGATGCCAGTACAAGTTTTCAATGCATCTTGTGTCTTTTTGGTCTATATCAACTTTCTTGAGAATCTGCATTAACTTGAAGTGTTGGACACGATCAAACGCTTTTTGGTAATCTCTACAGCATAGAAAGACTTTAATATACATTGCCACTTATCTTAGAAGCAATATTAGGTTGTGGAACTGATGTATGAAAATCCAAGAAAAGTCCATAAAAGTGCTAAATAAATTGTAAAATTTTAAATTGCACTACGATAATCACCTATAGAGGTTGAGGTGTTAACAAAAAAAAAACTAATTAAACATAATTTCCGGTATTTTCTAAATTAATAAATTTAAAACAATTTGGTTAAAAAAGATAAATGTTTTGTTAAGATATTTGTGTCAACTATACAACTAGTTCTCTTTTATATTGTTCTCTTGGGATTAAACCAAATTATTACGTTGCTTCTTATATTTTTCAAACGAAGATTAATGAACGAACTTTTAGATAATTAAAAATATCAACTTCACCCTGTACCACAGGAGTTAATTTCAACATGGAATACTAATTTGCCAAGCATTTTTCTTTAAACAGGGATCCAGGAAATACGCCATCTAAATATTTACGAGAAGGATTTGTATTTACATACATTCCATAAAAATTCTATAGCCTTTTTATAAATTCCAAAGATATTTCCCTAAGGGAAAATTTATTATTATTTGGTTTGTACTCTAAATTAAAAAATGCAAGCATAGGTAAGTTTACGTTATTATTAAAAAGGAAAATGTTTTAAACTGTCAAATTAATCATTAAAAAAAGTTCCTACGAACAAAATTATACAACCTCAGTAAAAGATCTTAACAATATTATTTTGATGTAGATTGGGTGCCAATTACTACACCGGATGGTTGGGTGTTACTGCCGAGCGTATCATCCAACGCCACAATGCCACCTTCTATGGACTCATCAACAACAGTCTTACCTTCAAGTTCTGTTTCCTCCATACCTACAAGCAGCTCTACATTTGGACCTATTACTTTACCTACACCGTTCGACAAACCAACAGTTCAAAACGTAACAACAGAAGCACCCACAGCAACAGTTAGTTCTTCTAGTATTTCTTCGAGTACTATCGAGGTTGTTACTGTTGATAATGAAACGGATGAAGCTGAGAACTCTACTATTAATACGACACCACCGTTGGAAAATTTTGCACAGCCTGTCAATATGAGTGATTTCACTGATGGTAAGATTATTTTTATTTGTGTATTATATTAATATTCTTGGTAAATATTCTTATTTTTAATACTTGCTCTGGTAAGCAGAGTTCATCCATAAATCAAATCATTAGTATAAATCAAACAGTTTAATATGAAAAAAGGATGTCAATATTAGTTCCCTTTGGATCTCCTTAAGGTTTCCGTGTACTTGGTGTCTTGAACTTAATGTATCTTTCGCACATTGCTGCTACTATGCTGTGAACATGATCAGTACAAAATTGTCCCCGTGGTAACACTCTGAATTCTACAGTACGTTACATACAGTCTATAAGTCTTACACATATTTGACAGAGTCTGATCTTGTTTTTTTTACTCGATTATGATCTGATTTCGAGTCACAGTATAATTCCGACACAGATGGACCTAAAAAGTGTGGATATCTGCAGATACTTTTGACCTCGTTGAAGAGCGCAGAAAATTCAAACTTTTCCAAAATTCCCAACAACTTTCTAGAGATATACAAGCTACTTGAGATAGCCAAAATAAGCAAATGCATATTTAAAAAATGTACTTCCTCAAGAATTGCTCTGCAGTCATCCCTATTCATAGCCTATCTCCACCAAGCACGTATTCCCATATTTTTCATATATTCATCAATGTTATCAAGGAAAATTGTTCTAGGTCTTCCTCTTCTTCTCGCACCAATGGGTCTATCAAGAAGCGTTTTTCAAGCTGGCTCATTTTATTCCATTTGCATTACATGCTCTATCCACTTCAGAAGTCCTATCTTATTAATCGTTTTCTTCACACTCTATTGTTATTTACTGCTCCATAGATTTGCATTGGTACTTTCCTTTCGAAACATCCTAACATGTTTTTATTACTCTTTGTTGCATTCCAGGTCTCTGACCCATATGTTGACACTGGGCGTATTCTATTTCACACTATTCACAGTTCTATTTTTGTATTTCTCAATATAATGTGAGACTAAGCTCAAAATAGGATCTGTTGGCCGTGCAAATTCTGCGGTTTATCTTTGCGATAGTATTATTTTTAGTGTTAAGGAGAGCTCAAAGGTATACGCAGAGTAGTAGGTATCTCAAAATTTTTAAAGTACAGCTTAGAACTTTTTGTAAATCCTAAATGTACGTAATGGGATACCACGAAAGTGGAGAAGAGTTAGAACACCTTTATGGTTTTCAACTCTTCATTCATTGTGTTTTAATTTTAGGAACAATTATTTTTGGAATACTAAATATTCTTATGTTAAGAGAGACAGACATGTCCAACATATATTTAAAATAACCATATGGTATGACACCATTGGTATTCATTTTTTTATTGTCTATGGAAGTATTTATGACAACTTTCCTGAACATTGCATTGGTCGTGGTGGTCATTTTCCTTGGTCACCACGTAGCTCAGAATTTAATCCTCTTGATTTTGGTGAACAAGAAATTAAAGCGAGAATTGCTCAAGCTAGGGATAGTTTCTTTAAGATGCGCGTTCTATTCTGCGATACACATATAAATATTAAATTGAGATTAAAACTTGTAAAATGTTTTATCTGGTCTGTTCTTCTTTACGGAGTCGAAACGTGGACTTTAAAAATAAAGAGCCTGAATAGAATCGAGGCATTTGAAATGTGGGTGTACCGTAGAATTTTAAAAATTCCTTGGACAGCACGAAAAACAAATGAAGAAGTACTAGCTAGACTCAATTTAGAAAAAGAACTATTGAGAACAGTCAAAAGAAGAAAAACCAGTTATTTAGGGCATTTGTTGCGCAACCAGAAATACTACATCCCTCAGTTGATAATAAAAGGCAAAATAGAAGGAAAGCGAGGAATTGGAAGAAAAAAATTGTCCTGGTTACGTAATATCAGAAACTGGACAGGACTTGGATTTGAGGAACTCTTAAGAGCAGCTGAAGATAGACAAACGTTTGCCACCATAACCGCTAACCTCCATTGATGGAGACGGCACTTGAAGAAGAAGATTGTCTTCTGAGATTAGTTGTCTAAGTTTCGCCAACACTGGGGGTCGGCATCTTCTGGAGATGTTACTGCTTCGCTAGTAAGCTGAAACTGACTATCAGTTAAAACGAAAAATAAAATTTTATATTTCCACTTACACCCTGTATCTTTCTTAATATCAACATTTATTTAACCAAATTGGCTTAAACTGTAATATTTTAAAGTGTAGAATCTACTGTTTCTTTTTGTACAATTGTTTAATGACCACCCTGTACATAAGAGAAAAACATTTTTCCTAACCTAACTCGTATTTATAATAATATTCCCTCACTGTATTGTAAATATTTTTCAGATTTATCATTTTCACGTTAAAATATCAAAACATGTTTTGTTTTACAAAACACAGATAAAACTGTTGTTTTCCTTTTCTTATTGGTGTATACCACCAACCACATACTCGTACATATCTCAACGTTCCTGTTTGGTATGCATTAAAATGCTAATTTAATTTTTTTCTGTTGAGAACAGTATGCGGCAGACGTATGTACCCCGAGGCGAGGATAGTGGGTGGAGAGAAGTCATCCTTCGGGAAATGGCCGTGGCAGATCTCGTTGCGTCAATGGAGGACGTCCACATACTTGCACAAGTGTGGTGCTGCTCTGTTGAATGAAAACTGGGCCATTACTGCTGCGCACTGCGTTGATAAGTAGGTATTATTATTATTTTGGTTTGGAGGTTTGTATTTCGTAACATATTTGGTTTTGTCAAAAGCCCTAGGCTTTGCAGGGTATTATTACAAATTTGAATTATACATATATGTATATGGATGTATTAATACCCATTTTAATTATCAAAGGATAGATCTGTGTTATTTTGAAGAATGATAATTTAACTATGAATAATACATTTTCTGAATCTATTGTGATATATTTATATAGTTCGAATTTATTTGTCTTTATTCTAATTTATTGTCTATAATCTAATTTATTAAAACTCACGATAGCTAATTACTAATTTATTAAATAACTTTACAAATGTATGTATTTCACGTTTCGTACAAGTAAACCGCGTTTACCGATCTTCTTATGACTAACTCCTCAATGAAATTCTTCCGGTATTTATATGAAACCAGCTTGTAACAGAATGTTTGTAGAAAATACGATGCCGTTCTCGATCTCGACGTAGACACGGCGGCGACTGGTCTCAAAACATGTTCCTTTATCGGCTTGTCGCCCCCAGAACATTCGATTGTTGTTTGTCAGGTAGATTTTTTTGACCTAGAAATTACGAGAATCAATACAAAAGAATTAGTCATAAAATATTTACAGTTCTATACGCCATAACATTTAAAATCGTAACATTGCCCCCCTCTTAAAAGATGGTTCCTCCTGGAACCTTGTCGGGACTGGAACTGGAACGACATGCTGATATCGGCAACTGGACCCTCTTTTACAACTTCCGGTTGTATAGAAATGACAAGGGACGGTTTTCTCTCCGCACCAGTAACTATGCGGATTGCAACAGACTAACACCTGGACTTCGGTGTCTTTAAACATCTCCTCCACCATATTTCGGATAACCCTCCAATCTAATTGGCGGCACTCCAACTTTGGCATGGCTAACTTTTGCACGTCGGACTCTAGTACGTGCTCTCTCAACTGAAGTAAGGCTTCCCATACATCTCGGTAGGTAGGTTGGTCACGGGCAGTGTCTTTTGTTACCAGGTAGAAAAGGTAACGTGATGCATCTTGAAGTTTCAAGGTTTTACCAGGAGCTGGCACTTGGCATTGAAGTTCTGCAACTCGACCAAACTTCCTTCGAAAGACGGATGCCAACCCTGGTGCATCTTTGATACTGGCCGGGATGGTAAGGGCCAGTGAGTAGTCATCGGGGAGCGCGAGTAGATCTTGCCTTTCTTCAGTGGTAACACCATATCTTGCTTTACCGGTACCTCCATAGGCACCCATGAATTCCTCAAACGTGAGGTCAGACACATCTTGGACTTGGTTTACTTCCACTTCTTCATCTACGTCGTGGTCACCCTCGAAAGACGCCAACCGGTTATGGTGTACTATCATCGGCTTTCCTCTCGGAATCTTGCTTATTCGGTAAATAACATCATTGATCTTCTCCATAATGAGGTATGGACCTTCCCAAAACTGCTGCAATTTGGGAGAACAACCTTTTCGCTTTTTGGGGTTATAAAGCCAGACTTTATCGTTCTTCTTAAAACACCCCTTCTCGGCTTGCGTATCGTACCGTTTCTTCATTCGGTCACTAGCGATCTGGAGATGGGAACGGACCAACTCGTGTACATCGTCCATTCTTCTTCGTAATTCGATCACATAATCTTCACCTGCTACATCTTCTCCAGGTCGACACCCAAACTCTAGATCACAAGGTAGTCGCATCTCGCGTCCGAATAGGACTTTGGCTGGTGTCTGGCCTGTTGATTCATTAACAGCAGATCTGTAGGCCATTGTGAAGAACGGGAGATATTGGTCCCAGTCTCGCTGATGATCGGACACCATCTTTGTCAAATACTTGCCAACTGTTCTATTCATTCGTTCTACCATACCATCCGATTGCGGATGATAAGCCGTAGTCCTTGTTTTCTTCATACCTAGTCTATCACATATTCCTTGGAATAAATCGCTTTCGAAGTTCCTGCCTTGGTCACTATGGATCTCCAAAGGCACTCCAAATCGGCTGATATATTCTTGGATCAACTTATCTGCAACGGTGGCCGCCTTCTGGTCTGGAAGTGCGTAAATCTCGACCCACTTAGTGAAGTAATCCATTACTACCAACATGTACTTGCCTCCATTATCACTTTCTGGAAACGGCCCAGCAATGTCCAAAGCTATTCTTTCAAACGGGCTTCCAACATTATATTGTCTCATAGGAGCTCTCCTTTTTCGATAAGGCCCGTTACTCGTAGCACAAATAGTACATTTCTTACACCAGTCTTTTACATCGTCGGAACTGTTCATCCAATAAAACCGTTCCCGAATTCGCTGAAGGGTCTTTTTCACACCAAAATGCCCTCCT